ATATCAGCACTGTTTATCTCTTTAAAAATCATACCTGAAAAATGACAAAATTAAAAGAGACTGTCCTGAAATCAGTCTATGCTCCTGCCTTGGATCCTAGTTTGGATAAATCAGATGGAAAGAACACTTTGGGGAACAGTCAGGAATTCTGAATACAGACTGAGAATTAAATGCGATTAAGGGGTTATTGATTTTTGTTGGGTATAATACACAGATGGATTGGCCAAGTGGCAGCATCGATTGACTCAAGCATGGCAACAGTAGTGAGGTTGGCCCAGGATCGGGCAGTGTTTTGTTCTGCTGAGCATAATGTTGCTATGAGTCGGTACTGACTTGATGACACCTGACAACAATAACGTAATACACAGAAAAAATAGATGATTTTTTTTAGAGCTGGAAAGCACAGTATTGATGGATGGAATGCTGAGATGTCATTTTCTTTAAAATACTTCCAAATGAAAGAAGTGAGTTGTAAAACCAACCAACAATAGTTAACAAAAGATCTGTCAGAGAAGTGATTGTCTAGTCTTCCATTTGTTATGGTCATGCTATCGGTGAGCCGTCTTATTTAGAACGTGCCTGACTGAGACTGAAGGTAAGTCTTCAGAACTAGGGAGACAAATGCCTCACCAGCAGTCATGAGACCTGAGGATCCAAGCGGAGTCAGAGAACCGGCACGAGAAGGGTCCTGGAGAGGGGTCTCTTCGATTGTGCCTTCCTCCTTTGTTATATTATCTTCTGCTACTGTTACCAAGATGATGAGAGAAAATGGCCAGCATACCACTCACTATAACACACCAGACGATCTCTTAATGACACAGTGACAACTGATTTGCCTCTGGTTAAAGAAAAGATTATCCCTCTTGGACTGGACTCACACATAAACTTTAGGCTTTGCAACCAATCTGAAAACCAGTATCTTTCGATTTTTGACTGGTGCAGCACTGATGTTTTCTGTCTGCTTGCAGCCTGCTGAGGTACTACAGTCCTTGTAAACTCTACTGTGCTGAAGACACTGACGTGGGGCATCATGTCCTCACTTCTCCATCTGGTTTCATAGCCCCATGCTCCTTCATGTTGCATCTCATCTTTCCATGGCCCTACATGGAAACCAGTACTTGGGCAGATACAAATGGTTGGCATTTACTGTCTTTGCCACAGCATGGGCTCCTTATAATTAAACCAATTTGGAGTAAAAACTTAGCGCCAGTGGACCAAAGGGGAATTTGATTTTATTTTTCATAAAGTCACTCTCATCCCAGTTCTCTGCTGGAAGGGGTTGGAATATCTTTAGGACGAGCATGTAGATTCTAACTGCCAGAATATTTGAATGACCTTCCTTAATTTATCAGAAAGACTCAGGGAGTCAGCTTTATTTGGCTATTAGGACTGGGTGTGGGCCAGAAGGGTGTCCAACACAGATTTCCAACCTGGCTTGTTGGGGGAGTTGCCATGGTTCCACCATTCTCCTTGGTTTCCTTGTCAAGGGTGATAGTCACACAAGGGCACCAGTCTCTACGCTGACAGGTAGGATCAAAGAAACTTCTGGAAGATATGTCCAAACTGATGGAAGAACAAAGGCGAGCTCATTTGGTTTTCTACAGGGGGCTAGATGGTATTTCCAGGCCATGATTTGGGTCTTTGGGTGGCTTCTGGTGGTGGGGCTGGCGGTCTCTGGTTTCAGATGGTCAACAAGACTGGATGAGTTCCAGCTCCAAGTTCAGGAGACAATAGGACCTGTGCTCATTTCCACTTGCTCTGAGCCTGGAGAAAATGTGACATCATGGCTGCAGCTCATCATCCTCTGAAGTGACTCAGGCATCAGAGAGAAGCACTCTGGCTGCCCCTCAGGGCCCGTGATAGAGGGGCTGTTCAGGCTAAAGGGGACCTCCAGATCTGTCATGAATGACTCAGTCTGCTGGAAGCCACAGTGCCCCACCTTCCTCATACTCTGGGATTATGTAATATAATCAGGGATAACTGCATGGGTTCCAAGGAGGAACTACACACCCAGCCACACACTTTGAGAATGCAGGTGGTGATGTGGACTTGGATGTCAGAGCCGAGTTTGATGGCAGTTTTCCTCTCATCACTTCAGTGATCAAGCAAGTGGAGAAGACTGATCCTGTCTTCTGTCAAGCCCATCATTTTCAAGTCTTCCAGCCTCAGGGAGGGAAGCTGGAATTCCAAGTGGCAAAGGCTTTGAAAATGATCTAGAACTTCACTAAGAAGAACAGCAGGCTCATCTAATTGCAATATCCCAAATCGATCTGGAGAGGGGCTGTCTGGTCAGAAACAGAACTTCTCATGAGCAGTACACAAAGCTTTCTTCAGCTCAGCACATCACTCTGATATCTGTCAAAGTCAAAAGCCAGCTGTAAACTGTAACAGAGAAAAATCTGGCAGCTAGAACACTTGCTTATCACACTTAACCGTGACCCACCCATATTTTGTACAGAAAAGAGGAAACAGCTTGAAAGGCTTACCTGCCTACTTCAAAGAGGAAAATGTCTCCACTCTTAAAGGTTTTGTTGCTTGCAGATTCCAATGGAGGCTGTTCTGCTTGTGGTGATCCATTAGCTGACTGGAATGTGTCAGATGTACCCTTCGTATCTGCGCCTCCTTCTTCTGGGGTAATCCCTTCCTCTATCAGCTGCTGGATCTTCTGAGGACTCCCTTCTGGAAAAGCGAATAACTGCACCCAAATTTTTTTGATCCCCGAGACAAATATTGGCCCCTCAGTGGGTGCTGCCATCTTGGTCTCTCATAATTAATTTCTGTTGTGTTCTACAAAAGAATTCGTATGTGATAGATTGGACATTTTAATAAAATGATTTCTCCCAATAGACATCAAGAAAAAATGGCCTTAGGTGCTATCACAGGAGTGGGTGCCTGAGGAAGCAAGAAAGTCAAAATAATTGAAGGTCACCCCAGTCAATGTTGAAGTCACCAAGATTGGTGCCAAACATAGGGTTGAAATGATAAGTTTATGCTTATGTCCAGCACCCTGGGGTCCTGAAAACAGAGGCAACCACCAGAACTGAGATTCCCTATGATCATGTTATCTTTTATTTCCCAAGGAAAATAGCATCCAAGATTGCATGAAGTTTATAAAACCTGGTGCCTAGGCATTACTAAAACCAGCATTCTCTGGGCTGTATTTTTCTCAGGGCAAGTCCCAAGTGCCTGACTTCTGTCTGGGTGCATGCCAAATAGAAAGCTAATGTGTCCACATCTCAGATGACCCCTGATGGCAGACTGACAGAGCTTCGCCTCATAGGTAATTCCCATAAGATGAATTGTCCAGAGTCTTCAGGAATATGAAGCCCAATTCCTGCCAATTTCAGGTTCAGGAGACAGGAACTGTGCATGAACTGCAGAATAGTTCACCTGGCTCTGCATGTATGAAGAGGCATGGGCCAGTTTCAGATTTGGATAGTCAGTGGCATGTGGTCTACGTCCATTCAAAACAGAGATTGTGGGCACTACAGGGGTTGGGGCAAGAAAACCAAGCTGATGCTTTTCCTAAGTTGAGGAGACAAAATAAAACAAAAACAAAAAAAAACAAACTCATTGCCGTAAAGTCAGTTCTGACTCATAGTGACCCTATAGGAGCAGAATTGGATTTCCTAGGTTGTAAATCTTGGCTGAAAGCAGAAAATATTAGAAAGATGTTTACCTGTGCTTTATTGACTATGCAAAGGCTTTCAATTGTGTGGATCATGACAAGCTATGGACAACATTGCAAAGTATGGGTATTCCAGAGCACTTAATTGTACCCATGAGGAATCTGTACCTGGACCAAGAAGCTGTTATTCGAACAGAACCTAGGAACACTGAATATTTTAAAATTAAGAGTGGTGTGCGACAAGGTTGTATTCTTTCACCATACTTATTCAACCTGTATGCACAGCAAATAATACATAAAGCTGGGTTCTATGAAGAAAAACGTGGCATCAGGATGGGAGGAAGACTCTTAACAACCTGCGATATGCAGATGATACAACCTTGCTTGCTGAAAGTGAAGAGGACTTAAAACATTTGCTGATGAAGATCAAAGAGCACAGCCTTCGATATGGATTACATCTCAATGTAAAAAAAAAAACAACAAAACTCCTCACCACTAGACCAATAATTCTTATCAACAGAGAAAAGATTGAAGTTGTCAAGGACTTCATTCTTCTTGGCTCAACTATCAACACTCACAGAAGCAGCAGTCAAGAGATCAGATGATGTACTGCATTAGGCAAATCTGCTACACAGGAACTTTTTTAAGTGTTGAAGAGCAAAGATGTTAGCTTGAGGACTAAGGTGCGCCTGACCCAAACCATGGTATTTTCAATAACCTCATATGGATGCGAAAACTGAACAGTGAATAAGAAAGATCGTAGAATTGGTGCCTTTGAATTGTGGTGTTGGAGGAGAATACTAAAAGTGCCATAGGCTGCCAAAAGAACCAATAGATCTGTTTTGGAAGAAGTGCAGCCAGAGTCCTCCTTAGAGGCCAAGATGGCCAAACTTTGTCTCTCATACTTTGGACATATTGGTAGGAGGGACCAGTTGCTGGAGAAGGGTATCATGTTTGATAAGATGGAGGGTCAGAGAAAAAAAGGAAGACCCCCAATGAGATGGATTGGCCAGGTGGCAGCATCAATGGACTCAAGTGTGGCAATAGTAGTGAGGTTAGCCAGGATCGGACATTGTTTCGTTCTGCTGTGTATAAGGTTATTATAAGTCGGTGCCGGCTCGATGGCACCTAACAACAGCAACAAATCTTTATGAGTGTAGAAGCCTCATCTTTCTCCCTTAATCCAGCTGGTAGGTTTGAACGGTTGAACTCATGGTAACCCACTACTTGTGGAACCAGGGTTACTCTGGAAGAAGCAGCAGCAGGGCCTTAATCCTTGGAGCCCCCAGAAATGCAAGAGTCATTGAAATGCACAAAACCTGGTCAGACGTTTATTGGTCCAAAGGAGCCAGGTCCCTACCCTGCAGGGCCTTCAGACTGATAAGATTTCAATGTGGAACTCCAGCTGATTGGAAGAGACTTCATGGTCTACCTGTAAAATGTCATTGGGCTGGTAAGTGAGGCAGTTCATTGGGTCCTGGATCATGCAGATCGTTTTGCTCATTTGGCAGTAGTGTTGTTGGCACAGACACATGCGGATCCAGGACTGCAGCTTGACTGCTGCCTGCTCCTGCAGTATATGGGTCTTCAGCAGGTTGTGCAGTTGCTTATGCACCTGCCTCAGCCTGGAAGTTTTCCACCAGTACTGAATCATCCAGGCCCTGAGGGCAGCTGCCAGCAGCGTCCGTCGCACCAGGGTTCCACGCCACCATGCCTGGATCTTTCTGGCTGCCAGTACCACATTTTTATGCTGTCGTTTTACAGGAAGCATCTAGCCAAGCAAAGCAGAGGACTCACAATAAACTCACCATCAACCACAGCCCCAGAGTCTTCCAGAAAGGGGTCCTCATCCTCAAACTTAACAGTCAGCCTTTACCCACAGTCATTCTGGGGACCCAGGATATCTCGGTGTGGTCTTGTTTCTGCTACTGTCTTATCCATGACCATGGACATACTCATATCCTCTTACCCTCCGAGTTGAAGTGTGTTCTCATCCATAAAAAGGGGGATATGTTTGTGCTGTGGGCTTCATAGGTGCATGAAACCAGGAGAAGCACATCCAGATTCAGAATATTGGACATGGGTATGAGGAACCAATGGAGTCCCTATGGGCTCACTTGCTCCTCCACCCTTTAAATACTCTCAGACTCATGAGGACAGTATTCTACATTTATGACCTGAATCTCAGTCCACATTCCAGTCTACGATGCTTCTTTTGATATTGTATGTGGTGCCACAGCCCTTTGGGGGTCTCTCTCTCACCTTATTTACTGTTTTATTTTCATCACTTACCTCTCAATCATTCTCACATGGTTCCAAGCCCAGGCTACTCTCTCTCCATCTTCCCATTTTCCACTGTGTTGTCCCAGCTCCTCTGTGGCCTGTCTACACCCCTTATTTCCAGCTTCTCCACCATCTTCTCCATACCTAACTTGACTTACCCAATATAAGGAGGAGGTTACTGGGACAAGAATACAACACTCATATGACCCCTGTGTGACCAGGTAGGAATCTTACCCTTCCAGGGACCCTGGGGTCAGAGGATCAAAGATGTGTGGTTCTTTCACACTCCAGGGCCCACTTACCTTGATCTTGACCTTTTTCTTTAAAGGTGGTGTTTCTTCATCTGGAGACTTCTGCAATCAGAATGTGAGGGAGAGCATGGGTGAGGACTAGCCTTTGTGCACAGTCCCCACTACTCCAGTTCCCCATTATTGAGTCTCATGAAGTTTGTTTAGTGCTTCCCACTGTCATAGGGCAACTTCCCACCCTGCTGAGGTGGTCTAAGCAAGTCTTACACTTTGCTTATTGCCCATGGTATGGGATAGTTGTTCAGATGTTCACAAGCCCTCTGGTTGCTCTTTTCCCAGCCCTGGGAGGGGCATGAATATTATGGAGGAGGTGACAACCATGATGTCACAAGGGTTATTGTGACTTAGTGTTACAGATTTAATTGTATCCACCAAAACATGTGTCAACTTGACTAGGCCATTAATTTCAGTAATAGGTAATTATCTTCCATTTTGTGTTCAGATATAATTATCCTATGTTTTTCAATATTAACTTCTATGATTAGCATCCATTATGTTAATGAGGCAAGATACAATCTACAGGATTATGCTGTATTTTGAGTCAATTTCTTTTGAGATATAAAATAGATTAAACAAGTGAATGGTGATCAGAGGGACCTACTATTACCAAAAAAAAAAAAAAGAAGAAGACGACTTGGGAGTGGAACATATTCTTTAGACCTAGGGTCCCTGTGCTGTGGACCTTTGGACATAGGGTCCCCGTGCTGGGATGCCAACACACATGAAGCTTTCCAAGAGACATCAAGCTCATAGATGATGAAAGATACAAGGACCTTCACCCAGAACCAACAGAGAAAAAGGAAAAAAAAAAACACAAAAAACCTTCTGTAGCTGATGCCCTGAATGTGGACTTCTAACACCCTAAGCTGCAAGAGAATAAAGTTCTGTTTGTTAAAGCTATTCACTTGTGGTATTTCTGATATAATACCATTAGATAACAAAGATACCCAGAGACCAGGTTGCCTTCTCCAGATTCAAAGTTGTTGGATCAAGAGGAAACAGCTGTTTCCTTCCTACTGTCAATGAGGTCAGAATAGCAGTGAAAGATTATGTAAAGATGAGTCCTCCACTGGGGAAGAGCTGCCTCCTCTAAGTAGATCTGATCTTAATGATGCGGATTGAGCTACGTTTTCAAGACTTTCATTTGCTGATGTAGTACAACTCAAAATTAGAAGGCACAGCTGCAAGCATTGATCAGTAATCAGAATGTTTAATGTATGAAGAATGAATCCAGGAAAACTAGAAGTTGTAAAAAATGAAACAGAATGCATAAAGATCAATACCCTAGGCATAAGTGAACTGAAATGGACTGTTACTGGTTATTTTGAATCAGGCAATCATATGGTTTACTATGCCAGAATAAAAAATGAAGAGGAATGATATCACATTTGTTGTCAAAAACAACACCTCAAGATCTATCTTGAAGTATAATGCTATCTGTAATAGAATAATATTCATATGTCTATAAAGAAGACCAGTTAATACCCCTATTATTCAAATTTACACACCAACCATTAAAACCAGTAATGATAAAAATGAATTCTGCCAATTTCTTCAGTATGAAATTGATTAAACATGCAATCAAGATACACTGATAATTATTGGTGGTTGGAATATGAAAGTTGGAAACAAAGAGGAAGGATCCATAGTTGGAAAATGTGACCTTGGTGATAGACGCTAGAGAATACATGACAAAGATCACAAGACAAATGACTTATTCATTGCAAATATCTTTTTAAAGCAACATTAAACATGTCTATCCACATGGACCTCACCTTCTGAAACTAATGGACTAGAGAAACTTTCAGAACCTAAGTAACTGAGTATAAGATACTGCCCCCCTCCCTAGGATAGACTCCTCTAGTGGTGGCTCCAGAGCACAGAGGAGCTGGTATGACAAAAGCTGTAGAGAGAGTAGGAAGACAACGATTGGCAGAGGGCAGAAGTAAGTTAATGTGCAATGTGTGTGTTGGCAGGGGCACTGGGAACCTGGGTAGTGTGCATGCATTTCCTAGAATCAAAATGTCCTCCAACAAGCTTAAGTTAAAGCAGAACCACCAGTGGGATGAAGGAGAGTTCATCACGACCAGAGCCCAGAAACTGAACCACCTGCTTCCTCTCCCTCACCCTGTTGTCCTCATCTCCTCTGCTTCTCTTTGTCTCTGCAAAGTGTCTATAAGGTCCTGTGTACACAAGACTGAAAATGGCCATCCCAGCGATAGCACCAGCACATTCTGGCTTTAGCAACACCTGCCAAGTGACTCAGCACTGCTGAGGCAAAGCCCTAGGGTAGATAGGGAGAGGCTGGCTGGCCCTAGGGGAGATTAGAGAGAGTTGAAGGCCCAGCCTGATGGTGGGTGTGAGGAATAGAGGTGCAGCTCTCAGAGAAGCTAGACCCTGGGCAGCATATGCACCCATGTGTAGAGATTTCTATTTCTACTATTTGGTAACCTGTCTCCACACATAATGTTCTTTCATGGTCTCTCACTAAGGGAGACCCTCAACATCACATTCCATTGCCTGCAGACATGGCATTATAAAGTCACCACACTCAGATTTCTGGATCTCCAGGCAATGCCCCTTTCTGAACTGAGAGATATAAAGTGGCTTCATCTTGCTGTATTTGCGTTTTTCTGACAATGGACATTGAGTAGAGAGTTATTCTACAGGATGAACTCATGGGCAGAATCCTGAACTGCTGTCTTTTTGATTGTGTAGACTCAGGTGAGATCAGCCTTTTTGTGATTGCTTCTTCCTGGGTAAAGAAGAGAAAGCAGTATGGTTCCTATTTCCAGCTGTTGTGAGGGCATTCATCTAGGAGAAGTCCTTGGTCCAGCACCTGGTCTTTCATACTGCTCCTGCATTGTATCTCTTATTATTGTTGCACCTTGGTCATTTGGCACCTCTCTGTGTTAATTGTCTGACTCTGTCTTTGGCCTATTTTTCTGTTGGATACCCACTGATTTGCATGACTTCCTAATGTAACCCTTTGTTGGCTAAAAATGTTGCAAATACTCTGTAACAGACTATAACCTATCTGTTGACTTCTTCCATGGTGTTGTTCATATCACAGTATCTTTGATTTTAACATGTTCAAATCTGTGCATCTTCTCCTTTATAATTGTGCTTTTGGAGTTTTTCTTAAATGAATATTTTCTCATATAGGGTTTTGTGTTTTTTACTAGGTTGCAGTGTATCTTTTACATCAAGGTATTTAATTTCACAGTTCATGTAAACAGTTTTTTCAATTCCTTCGGTAAAGTATATATATATGCTCAACCTTCAGTATGGATTATATCTCAAGGTAAAGGAAACAAAAATCCTCACCACTGGACCAATAAACAACATTCTTATCAACAGAGAAAAGATTGAAGTTGCCAAGGACTTCATTCTTCTTGGATCAACTATCAATACTCACAGAAGCAGCAGTCAAGAGATCAGATGACGTATTGCATTAGGCAAATCTGCCACACAAGACCTTTTTAAAGTATTGAAGAACAAAGATGTCAGCTTGAGGACTAAGGTACGCCTGACCCAAGCCATGGTATTTTCAATATCCTCATATGCATGCAAAAGCTGGACAGTGAATAAGGAAGACCATAGAAGAATTGATGCTTTTGAATTGTGGTGTTGGAGGAGAATATTGAAGGTGCCATGGGCTGACAAAAGAACCAATAGATCTGTTTTGGAAGAAGTGCAGCCAGAGTGCTCCTTGGAGGCCAAGCTGGCCAAACTTCATCTCTCATACTTTGGACATATTGTCAGGAGGGACCAGTCGCTGGAGAAGGATGTCATATTTGGTAACGTGGAGGGTCAGAGAAAAAGAGGAAGACCCCTCCAAAGATATGGATTGGCCAGGTGGTAGCATCAATGGACTCAAGCGTGGCAAAAATAGTGAGGTTGGCCCAGGATCCAGCAATGTTTTGTTCTGCTGTGCATAAGTTGCTATGAGTCAGTACTAACTTGATGGCACCTAACAACAACAACAATGAAAATACACACACACACACACACATATATATATATTTGTTTGTTTGTTTGTTTGTTTGTTGTTGTTGTTGTTGTTATGTGCTGTGGAGTCCGTTCCGACTCATAGCGACCCTGTACAGGGTTTCCAAGAGTATAAATCTTTACGGGAGCAAAAAGCCTCATCTTTCTCCTGCAGAACAGCTGGTAGTTT